TAAACTGAAGTAAATTTGGCGTATAAAAGGCCCTTATTGCAACAACTGATAGTTAAATTTTTTCCCCCCATTGGGGGGGTTTTTTTTTTAAAGCTTAAAAATTTAAAAAAAAAAACAAAAAACAAAAAAAACATAGTTTGCCTTTAACTTGGATTTTGAACTCAGGCTCTCCTTCCAAACAGCGTGTAAACCCCTCGACCAAACGGCAAGTTATAAAGCATAACAGCCGAAAGAAAACCATAATAATTCAAAATTAGGGTTTGTAAACCCCTTATTAAAATTTCGTTTGACAACTTGGGATGTAAATAATCATGGAGCTTAAAATATTACATGTATATCTGGTAAAAGAATTACACAATATTGAAAATCTTTGACCAAATCGGGTACTAACTTTTTCTTCTCCGAGAAGGCTTGAAAATTAAATGCGCCCGTCATTTTGACAATCTTCACACAGTGGATCCCCCTTATTTTTCAGCGTTAGAGTACATATAAAGGGGTAAATAACCGGCTTCCAGGGGTTCGGACTACCTTTCTTATTTTGCAAATAAGCATATCAAGCTGAAAGTCGGCTACCATTATTTGTTTGGTCTGACTAAACCCAAACAAATAAAAATGTAGTCGCCATTGCTATTAAATTTTAATGTTTAAAGGCATGAAGCTTTAAAAAATAACTTTTAATTCAATGTAATAGGTCATTTTTTGGTTTGGTTTCACGGCTCATATAAAACTGACATTATCATGTGGCGACTTTCGAGTTTTACAAGTGCCCCTTTGGGTATAAATAAAGGAACGAACGGGCACCTGAGTAAAAACGACCGACGATTCTGTACGGTAGTAACAAAACTTTCTCACATAAAAAATCGAAACATCGAAGTCACTTTGTGGTCTCGTACCTACTCTCATGTAGTATATAAAACAGAACGCAGCCCTCCAAAATCCATTAGCATTTTGATTGACAAAATGGGTAATTATTAAAATATCATTTTATTTTTAAGACAAACACGACGCAAGCACACATATCTATGAACTCAATGTTAAATGCATCTTGAAATGAAAGTCCAAGATAGGCATAATTTTACCAAATTTTCCTAACAGTTATATCCTTACATGTATATGTAACAAGGTTACCCTTGTATAAACTACGTTACGATATATAACAGGCCTTGTTCCCATATGGGCTCTTCAAATTATTAAATTATTAAATTTGATTGCACGTAAGAAACTGTGCAAATATATTTGTCCATATGTAGATAAAATTTGATTATTTAGATACATTACAGTTAGTTTGGGACCAGCTAGGCAGATGATTCATACCAAATATCATGTGGCCGAAAAAAAGTAACCAGCGTTTTTTTTCTCCAAATTCGATTATTTAAACAACAGTTTGCAAGGAACATATAAATATTTCAACTTTTACTCCTACTACTTCTTGTTTGTTTATATATTCATACTACGTTTAGACAGTCATTTATAGTATTCGAACAACAAATTAAATTAAATAAGAATCGCACATAACAGATGTCCATGACGAATTTCACAATTCGTTTTAAAATCCAAAATAATATACCTGATTGTTTCAAATAAAAATCAAAACAAAACAAAATTTTGAATGTCTTCCATATCCTCCCTAAAATTTTAACATTTTATAGCCAAATATTAATTGCTCAACATATAAAATCGAATTTTGCGCAACGTACTCTCAAAATGTTCTTTTATTTTTTGAATAATCCTGTTTACATCAAACTGTAGGCAATAATGATACTTTGCAAAACAGGTCCCATGGTTCTCGTTTAAATTAATAAAATGTATAACTATGAAAAAATCACTCACATATAAAAATTAATTTTTTATATATTTTATTTTAGAATTGTTTCAAAGACAGAAATTGTGTGTGTACCGTATCTTTTGAAAAAAGCAGTGTGTTTCCGTATCATTTCAACATAATTTATGAAAAATATGCTAAAACATCACTAGCATCATCACTTCGATATATTGGACATAGTAAAATATATCAGATTTAACATATATTTTTTATATGAAATAGTGTCAAAAAACATATGACTTGCTAGAAATTCGCCTGTTATGCCAAATGAGTGTGTACCGTTCCCCTCGGCCCAGGCTATGAAAAGAAAACTGTACTCGAATGTTCTCAAAACCATTCCGGGGTTTTTCAGAATTTTGATATACCGTGGATAACTGATATAATTACGGGTACTCTGCGCCTTATCTCATCAAAATCGGTTGAGTAATAAATAAGTTATGAATAAAAAACATACCTGAATCGGGTGAAAAATCGGCGTGTTCCGTACCCGAAAAGTCACGTGGTATGGCCACATTGTTAACATACAGTGAAAAAATCAACACAATGTGACAAATAACAATTCTGTGAAAATTACAAATAACAAGGGGTACGCGATCTGGCGGATAAAACAAAATGATCTTCGCGACGTCGAAATTTCAAGTAAAAATGTCACCAGTGTCATTGTTTCTGAAAGCACATTTTCGAGTTTTCAATGTCTCTGGATCATATAACCATAACCATTATTCTGAGTGAGAAGCGAGAAAAAAAATGGTCACCTTTTTGCTCCATTTTTCGTATAAGGGCCTTGAGAGTTGACCAGTTTGCGCTCTTTATTGCGATTTTTTAGTAATCTCGACACTTAGCGGACAGTGTTATCAAGTTGATTCATTCATCAATTGGTAATTTATAATATTGATTTAAAACGACAATCATTTGATCCTTAAACAGTATGATTCTCAACAGAAACAAAAAATATTTTATCAACTGACAATTATTATTTGCGGTAAATCACCGGTTAGCATTTATTATCAAACAAATCAGGGAAAATACATGTAATACAAATAGTAAAAACATTTATTTATTGTAAATATGCATATATCCTGATGAATAAAATATAATATTCTTTATTAAATTGAATTGTCTGGTCAGAATTGAATGTGGAGATCAGATGCAGAAATTAAACATGGTGGACAGCTAGCAAACCTTTCATACTGTACATCCTCCTGTAGAACTTTTGCAATTGACATTACAAACATCCTGACAATTCGCTGCTTTCTACTTCCTGTCTGTGATCATGTATTTGCCGTTTTTGATTCGCTTGCGCCAGTTGAAACGTAATGACTTGCTCGCTGACTCATTGTCCTTTGTTAAATTAACCACCTCATATGAAAATTAATGAGTTTCCGCAGTTTGATGGAAAAAATTTCCGAATATGCAAATTTCTAGTTTTAAATGTGCTTTTTATTTCGCAATGTACACTTCTGGCTACTGCTGCTCAAAACATGTTTGTTTAGTCATTCAACGTCCAAATGACGTCGAATTTCAGATTTATGTCAATTTAATAATAATTGATGTTTACCCCGATTTTGCCTGGTGAAATAGCCGTTCAATTTATTTCAACATTTGTTTATATTTAAACATAGTATGAAAATTGCGGCGTGCACAGATGTTGCGTTGCTATGGTTATTAAAGTGCACATAATTAGTGAAGGAAGTAAAGGTTTATGATAAAAGTAAAACTTACTTTTAGAAATAAGGATACTCTTTCGATTCATATCAAATAAAGTTGTTTTTATTAACCAAATAAAAAATGACAGCAAAAGTCCACAAACTTTTTGAACGTACCTCGTATATAGATCTTTTTGAGTAATGTGCAGTGTTTTAGAACCATAACTCTTTTGCATACTTTTGGAGTTATTGCCCCTTTCATTTTGCACTTTAATCCTTGTTAGCATAATATGAAAAGTGAATTATAAAGTACTGGAATCATTTAAACTAACATTAAATAGACAATGTCATTCAGAAGAAAAGACCAAAGTCAAACTTTATTCAAGATTGACATTAAATATTATAGAAGTAGCAACACACTTAATGCATAAAAATGCATTTTCTGGGCATAGAAGAACATTTCGACTTTTTAATGTACAGATTGCAACTTATAAAAACTAAGTACCATTTTATAGCTAATTATATTTTACAGGCGTAAATTGGAACTTAGGCATTTTTGATTCACTTTACAATGCCTCAAAATTCTAAGTCAAATTTTATGTCCCTAAACAAAAGTACGGACCGTAAAAAATGGGAAAATTACCCCTAAACTTTTCTAATTTTTCCTGCTTTAATAAAATAACGAGTGTTTTACGCCTCGAAAAGTGATTTAATGTCCAATTTGCGTGTCTTTTTCTACTACAATGTACTTTGCAGTTGGAATTTTCAAATGGGGAGTGACTGTGTATGAATTGTGTTCATCGCATTCGAGTAAATTGTATATAAAATATAAAAGATATTTAAGAAATACGAGTTTCTGATAAATTTGCTAATTGTTCAACTTGAAATTAATTATATTTTTGATAGTTCACTTGATGCTTTGGTAGAGTAAAAACTACAAACAGATTTATTTTAGTTTGGAGCTTTGACTTAAATAAATTTTTAACCCTTCAATGCACAATTAATTTCAGTTTTTTCCCACTCATATGCTACCCAGAAAATAGTTAAGAGTTTGGCTTTTCAAATAAAAGTTACCCACAACATTTTCTAAGTTATTTACCACTAATTTGCCACCCAGAAAATAGGGTTTCACCTTTTCACTAAATGCCACTCATTTTCCACCTTCAAAATAAACGTTTCATTTTTCACCAATTTCCACACTTTTGCCACCATGAAAAAGTCTATGTCAATTTCCACTCAATGCCACTTTTATAGCACCAAAGGATTGTGGCATTTGGTGGTGATTTGCCACTACAGTGGAAAAAGAGTGGAAGTTTGTCATTTTCCAGTTAATGCCACCTTTTTTACACTGAATGCCACCCTTTTTGGTGGAAATAGCTGGCAAGTAGTGGCAAATCTAGGGACGGGTCTTTTAATCACTTTAAGTTTGGTATTTATACTATTTACTTCTTTTAAGTATGATAATGGTATATTATATACCACATTTTGTATGACCAGACCAGTAACTATAACATTACCATTCTATATTTCAGTGAGGAATATGGGAGGTCATAAGATGGTGAAGCGGCCATCAGAGTTTCAAAAATATCAATTAAAAGATGACCTTGTAAGTTACTGTTGTTATTTCTATTTTAACCTGTCCATGATCTAAACACGTAATGATGTCATCATTTTAGGGATATTTGATGCAGAAGGTCTGTTATTATGCTCCCCGAAAAATTTCGGGGGAGCATATAGTCGTCGTGTTGTCCGTCTGTCCGTACGCACGTCCCAATTTCGTGTCCGGCCCATAACTTCGTTATTTGAAGTCGGATTTTACAACTTTTTCACAGAAATGATCACCATATTGAGACAATGTGTCATGCACAACATTTGGGTTGTTTTTACACTTTGAACTTTGTCTGTGACATAACTCTGACACTACAAGAGGTATACCTTCCTGTGTCCAAAACCTATTCGGGGAGCATCACCCGGTTCAACCGGCTCTTGTTTAAGGAGAAGTGATGCTACAGAGTCTAAACTCATCAGACAAAAATCATGTTCGGATGATTCATGAACGCTTTTTATACCCCCGCACAACAAAGTTGTAAGGGGGGTATACTGGAATCAGCTTGTCCGTCCGTCCGGCCGTCCGTCCGTCCGGCCGTCCGTCCGTCCGGCCGTCGGTTTTTTCTTGTCCGCCCAATAACTTAAGATTCCTTTGACCCTTAGTCTTCATATATGGCATGGAGGTTAGTCATGATTAGTAGATGACCCCTATTGATTTTGAGGTCACTAGGTCAAAGGTCAAGGTCATAGGGGGCCTTGACTTCAAAAAAAGCTTGTCCGCCCAATAACTTAAGATTCCTTTGACCCTTAGTCTTCATATTTGGCATGGAGGTTAGTCATGATTAGTAGATGACCCCTATTGATTTTGAGGTCACTAGGTCAAAGGTCAAGGCCACAGGGGCCTTGACTTCAAAAGCTTGTCCGCCCATAACTTAAGATTCCTTTGACCTTAGTCTTCATATTTGGCATGGAGGTTAGTCATTATTAGTAGATAACCCTATTGATTTTGAGGTCACTAGGTCAAAGGTCAAGGTCACAGGGGCCTTGACTTCAAAAAGCTTGTCCCGCCCAATAACTTAAGATTCCTTTGACCCTTAGTCTTCATATTTGGCATGGAGGTTAGTCATGATTAGTAGATGACCCCTATTGATTTTGAGGTCACTAGGTCAAAGGTCAAGGTCACAGGGGCCTTGACTTCAAAAAGCTTGTCTGCCCAATAACTTAAGATTCCTTTGACCCTTAGTCTTCATATTTGTCATGGAGGTTAGTCATGATTAGTAGATGACCCCTATTGATTTTGAGGTCACCAGGTCAAAGGTCAAGGTCACAGGGACTTTGACTTCAAAAACTTTGTCTGCCCAATAACTTTAGATTCCTTTGACCCACAGTCTTCATATTTGGTATGGATGTTGATCATGACTATAAGGTGACCCCTATTGATTTTGAGGTCACTGGGTCAAAGGTCAAGGTCACAGGGACCTTGACAAAAAAAAGCTTTTCTTCTCAATTGCTAAAGAATGTCCTGTCCGCAATGTATTGATTTTGACATTTTCACATTTGAAGCATGTAGAATACATAACTTAGCAATGCACTGGCTTAGTAACCTCAGATTTGGCAGGGAGGTTGCCCTTGAGCTCTAAATGGCCATTGTTGATTCTGACAAAGTGGTATGCGGGGGTATTCAAGCCATGATAGTGGCAGTTCTAGTTGAATTAATTGGGCGCACTTAATTTGTTTGTTTGTTTGTTTCATTTTACCCTTTTTCCCAACAGTATTTCAGTCATATAGGCGGGGGCGCACTTAGTAAATAAAGACTTCTTACTTAGAATATGAGAAGCAATACTTACTTACTTAGAATATGAGAAACAGTTACTTACTTACTTAGAATATGAGAAAGTATTTGTAAATGTTTTTGTATTCCAGTAACTCTTTTTATGGTAACCTTGATGCAATTCAAAGGTCATGGTTCCACTACTTGGCGCTGCTTGGGGGAAATTTGTCTGTTTCCAACAACAGTTTTTGTTTTTTCTGTAAAATACTATTATGTTAGCAAGTTTACATGTAATTCGGTATAATTATGTATGTATACCATACTAACATAAATATTACTAGGGCTCTTATTTCACAAATTATGGAGGAGCAAAGAGCATTCAGGTCCTTTACTAGCTATTTCGGTAAAATAACAGCGCCACATTCCATAATCTTGTGTTTGTATAAAAAAGTTTTTTGTTCAAGGGATTTTTTCAACTGGGAGGAAAAGATAATATTTTTGATAAAAGCTCATGCTGTGGGCCAGATATGATCAGCAAAATATTTAATATGATTTTGTACCAGTGAAGGCCTTAAATCATTTGGTAGGATTTTAGGTCAAATGGATCAATTTAAGGTTTTGGTTGAAACAATTCCAGGGTGTAGAATTTCCAAGGTTTTTGGCTCAAAATCCTTGGAAAAAAACCTCGGAGTATTGGAACGAGAAAATGCAAAACTGCTATTAAGAAAACCTTGGAAAAATAGGGAGAGGGTATAAAACCTTGTAAAACATTTCTGAGGTTCTTTTTAAAAAAAAACCTCGTAAAAAGTATGACCTCGGAGTATTGGCGATTTCCAAGGATTTCAGAATAAAAACCTCGTAAAATAATTTCCGAGGATTTTTTTTAGAAAACCTTGTAAAATGAGTGACCTCGGAGTATTGGAACGATTTCCAAGGATTTCAGAATAAAAACCTCGTAAAATAATTTCCAAGGATTTTTTTAGAAAACCTTGTAAAATGAGTGACCTCGGAGTATTGGAACGATTTCCAAGGATTTTTAAAGTGTTTCCGTGGTTTGTTTTCCAAGGTTTTCAAATGAAAACCTCGGAAAGTTTCTCAAAACTGGGAATACTCAGGGCTAGCACTGGCAATTTTTTTCTTTGAGCCAATTTTTCGCGGCGAAAATTGCCTGCCTGTATTTTATTTTCAAATCAGGCAATGGTACAGCATGGGATATTTAGAAAAGCATTAACTATATCCAACTTAATTTTGGTAGCCACATTTTTATTACATTAACAAATCTTACATATACAAGTATAATTTACAGTCAGTAATCATAGTTTTAAGCTTAGAGGTCAGTAACTATAACATTTGCCAAAAGTTACATGTAGGCAGCAAGGTTCCCTTAAAATCTAAGTCTGTGGCATGGTAGTGACATCAGGTCAATCTTTTTTTTTCCAGGAATATGTATGTCATATAAATTCCTTCTTAATTTTATATTTTTGGGGCCATAAAATACCCTTTTTTTGTAGTGGCCCAATAAAGGCTGCTTCCCCAACCAAACTAGCCTCTTTTTTTCCCCCAAGTTTGGTCCTCAAAATTCCCAAAGTCTTGAAATTTCCCATAGAATTTAGAACAAAATTAAATGAGGTCTTTTACTGCCTCATTAGTATTTTCCACTGCTTTTTGCTGTCCTATTTTGAAGAACATTCCCACTGCTTTTTGCTTTTTTTATTTTGAAGAACTTGTTAAAAGTTTTTGTTAAATTTGAGACCCCTTTTTTCCCCCATTAGAAAAAGGCCGAAACCCCTTCCTCAAAAATGGTGTTTTGGCCCTGGATTTTATTGGCAATAACACCCCCTCCCACCACCACCAAAAAAAAATCAACAACAATAACATTATCAACTCGTAATTCATCAACAACGATAAAATTTACTGGTCAAGTTGCCAACTGCAGAACATAATTTGTCGCCATTTCATACCCAAAATGCTGATTTGATTAGCGATAATCTTGAGATGCCGCTAGTTATTGTTTCATATTGAATATTAAGGCCAATTATCCAGTGCATATTCAACAATCTGCCACAGGTATTTTTCACACCAATTAGTGTCGTATTTATCAGCTGATAAACATGTAAACATACCCTGAGCCTGAGGTCAGTGTATTAGACTGTGTTACTGTTCATATCAATATTTCGTTTTGAACGGAAGTTACAAATATAAACCAGTCAATGACCCACAAAAAGTAGACCGTGTCGCTCTGTTTTGAGATAAGAAGTGATAAAACGGAAGTTGTAGATGTGTACTTTTCCATTCTTAAAATAGAAAATGCTAAATTTAGACTGGAGATTCCAAAAGTCATACTTTTCGTAAGCTTGAGCCAATCGTGATTTTCTTGGGCCAATTAAATTATTTTGGAGCCAATTTGCTCATTGGCTCCTGCCAGCGCGAGCCCTGAATACTAATACAGTAATTATTTCCCAAGGATTCTTACTAAAGCATCAAGATCATTTTCCAAGGTTTACTTGAGCAAAAACCTTGGAAATTTCTAGAATATCCATGGATAATCAGAAAATATAACAACCAATGAAATATTCTGAAAAGAGCAATTATATTGTCCTTTTAAAGAATTAATAAACTTCTTTATAATAATACAGAGCAAAAAATGACACACTGAAACATTTAATGTCAGTGTGAAGTAAATAGTAATGCACTACAAATGAAAAGATTAAGTTAGTAGTCTTTAATGGTAAATATTACACTCAATGTTTAGTTATAATTTGTTTGGTACCCGGCAAATTTATATATTTTCAAATATTAATCTATTGAAGTCCTGTTCGCTCTTCATGATTTTAAAGTGTCCCCAAGTTTTTCCCTCACTGTCACAGGGGTCACATGTGGAAAATGCTTGGATAAATTCCTGAAATAAATAAAGTTAATATTTAATCAAGTACAGCCATTGAAAGAAGTTAGAAAAACAATTATATAAAATCCCTACTGGGTGCTTCCCTCTCCATGTGGTCAGGCTCAGTGACTTCAAACTTGCCTTACAACATTTTTTTTTGACTCTTGAAGCCAGGACGGGCTTCTCTGAGGGAGCTGTCCAGCACACCTGTGGTTATACTCAGGACAGTACAGTATGTGTAGGCAATCAGAATTACATCATTTAATTTCTTTTTTATTCATCAATAAAAACAAAATGATACGCTCCTAACGTTTCCATATATATCAAAATATCAGTTGATACTGTTTTAAAAGATCAGCACTAATGTGTGTATGGAAATATATCTTTTATTTTAGTGATCCAA